AAAACTTTCTTTAAAAAAAAAAACCTTTAAGATGTTGAAGTTTGTTTCAAACTTGTTTCAAGATATTGGCTGAATGGGTCGGTGAGTGTTGACCTTGTGTAGATCTACTTGAGCGGCTATAACAAAACAAAGTATCATGCGTGGGAGGGGCTTAAACAACTTACAGTATTTCTCAGAGTTGTGCAGACTGGGAAGTCTAAGATTGAGATGCGATGACCGTGCTTCCTGGTGGGGGCTTCCACCCTGGCTTGTAGACAGCTCTCACCATGTCCTTGGATGGCCTTTTTTTAGCAAGCGAGGAGATATTTCTCCGTCTTCCTGCTGGAGTACGAGGGTCCCAGCCACTGGGTCTTCTGAACCCAAGCACCTGCCTCCAGCACAGTCACATGGGAGATCAGGGCTTCAACTTCTGAATTTGGGGAGGCCAGACCAAGCTTTCAGCCCACACCAAACTCGTAGTAAAGAAAATGTCCCCTCTGTAAACGTTAAGTACCTCGCTCAGCACATAAATATGATTTTATTTCTCCTTTTTCTCTATCCATACTTGTGTTATATTACACAGTATCATTCAGCCAAAGATGCACTCACTTCTTTGGAGCATAATTTTATTAAAATACAGAAATTTGGTTTGTTTCTTTTGTCCTTAATCATGTGATGACACAGATGACTGTGTATGCTTTATTTCATTACTGTCTGTGATTTCTCCGTGGTTTGATTCCTTTTCATTAAAATAGAAACATTACCTGAAGGTACTGAAGCTAAAATTTACTGTCCTGAATTTAAACTGAAAATTTTTGTTTGTAATTTTAGGTTTGCAGCTCCTATAAAAGTTACTGAGGGGCCAGGGATTTAGCTCAGTGGTTTCACCGACTGCTGCGCAAGCGCAAGGACCCGAGTTCGATCCCCAGTACCAAAAAAAAAAAGTTACTGAGTATGACTTTCATCTAAAAGGTACTGAAAGTTATATTGGAGGACACTCCTTAACTGTTTTGGATTTGTTGATACTTTGAGAGAACTTAACATCTAGACTTATGTAACAAGAGAAATCTTACGTGACCGTATGATAATCAAAAATCATTTGAATAAGGTGGACGGGAAAGAGTGGTTTGATAAAACATCAGCTTCAGGATCTAAACCAAAATCCTGCTGTAAGATAGTCTGCAGCTTTGGATTACCATTTGGGCACCAGCTGTTCATTATCACTTGGACAGTTCATGGAATTGTCTCCTTTTAAGAGGACTTTCTGTCCTCCTCTGACCTACTTGGTAAAGTCTCAGCACTTGATTTATGAGAGATAATTAGGTAAAAGCCTCCACAGGGCACCCAATTAGAATTCATGCAGTCAAGTGTCATTCTGTACAATTCTGAAAAATATTTTTAGCCAGCTACAGAAGAGTGGAAATATCTGCCTGAAATTATTGTCTCTTACGAAGCCAAAGCTGAGATGATTATATACGTTTTTGTAAAATTAAATTTATTTTCAACTGATCTATAACAACATAAAAATTGTACAAATCAGTGGGGTCGTATGATGTTTCAATACCCATATACACTGTGTAGTGTGTTTAAAACAGGTTAAACATACTTATCTCCTCAGACATTTATCACTTCTCTATAATGAAAACTTTATATTTTCTGAAGTATACAATTCATCCCTTTTTACTTTTAAAAAGAGAGCTATATATGTACAAAGTTTTAAAAAATGAACCAGCTTGCAAGGCTTGTTAAAAACGTCTTGAGACTCCTGTGTCCTCTCTTTCTTATTTCTCCTACCAGAGGCAACTGCTTTTTCTGCCTACCCATGATGATTTTGCTCTTTTTGCTTCATGACCTTTGAATGCAGGCATTGTTGTCTGCCCTCTGTCTCTACCCGCCCAGCCTTCTCCTCGCTTGTCCTTCCAGGGTTGTTACGTGGCAATTTTGGTTCGCTCTGAATTACATTGGTATGACTGTAATCATAGTGGAAATATAGTAAGCTTTGATTCGTTTTTCTTTTCCTGTGCGATTTTTTGTTTTCTTGTCATGTTCTTTTAACTTTATCTGTACTTATCACTAATTAATCCCCCAACTCTTCGGCAGTTGTCTCAGTTTACTCTTGGTGCTTACTCGAATGTACTGGGATTCTATCCAGTGCAACTTAGCTGAGAGGTCTCTTCAGGAGCCTTTCCATCTGACCTGCCCCACTGCCCTTTGGGTCTGATGTACAGCTGTCATCCTGGGAATGCTGGTCACCGCCATTCCCATATTCCCTTTGCCCATCTCCCATGTTGGAGCTCTTATTTCCTGCATTCTGTGCCGTGCTCTCTCTCGATTATCCCCTTGGTATAGCAGAACACACACTGAGAAAGAGAGAAAGGAGACATTGTTGGAGAAATTGCATGTGTAAAATATCTTTATTTTGTTGCTGTTATTGCCCTTTAATGCTTCCAAGCTTGGGTTATGACTATAAGAGAGCGTGTGAGTGTGTGCATGTGTGTGTGCACGTGTTGTCATTTTGGTGGGGTATAGAGAAGGAGCCAAACTAGGCATGTTTAATAGGCCCTGTTCACCCAGCAGTTATACATATTATAAACACAACAAACATTTCTTTCAGTTTTGGGCTCAAGAATTAAACTACTTTAAGAAATAAGTCCAAAGGAGAACTTGTTCTTTTCAGGTGATGGAATAGAGAACAGGAGCTGCTGAGCTGGGTAGCTAAGACACTAATGAAGAAAAAAAACATAGAGCATTCTTCTGTGGCCAGGCAGGAAAAACCCTTCATTTTGCTTTTCCTTGAAGTTTTGTGAAGGGGAAAGAATTTTTTTTTTCACAGTTAAGAAATACAAGATAAGGAAATTAGATAGAGATGGTGGCCATTGAACATTGCGGATATGTTCATTTGAAATGCCATGGAATTTAAGATGTAATTGTTAATTTAAGTTATATGAATGTAACCTAAAGTTACAAATTCTTTTAACCTAAAAAATCTAAAATACACCAACATTTTCAAAGCTAGTAGCTACATAGTGTCCTGCTTTTGGAGATAAAAAATAAATTGACTTATTACACAGGCCTCGTTAAAGTGTGTTTCTGATGTCCACCTGGGAGCTTTGTGGAGATTAAAACCTACACAATTCTGGAAGATTTTATGAATGCTAATTCATTTTGGAAAAAGCAAGATCATTACAAGGGATGGCCAAGTGAAGTTGGTATTTCTCTCAGAGAAGGTAGAAGGAATTAACAAGTACTTAATATATGTACCTCTTAACATCAGAATGTGCAGTTGAAACCTTTTGACTCTTTAATCACTTATACATAGCAGAAGAAATGGGAAACACTGATGGAACATGATACAATTCCTGTAAAATTGCTGATGTTTTCCTAAGGTTTCCTATGAAACACCATGTCCTTGAAAAAGGGTTACTAGCATTTTACCATCTAAAATGTAGCATTTGGCAGTCTGGTAGAGTGTATTAGATCAGGTGTGCAGAAGCCATAATACCAGGGTTCAAATCCTGACTTTGCTGTTTACTAGTTAAATTCTCTAGTTCTCATTTTTCTCATGTGTGAAATGAATGTAATGATAGGCATTGTGAGAGAATGTGAATTAATACAGGTAAAGCCCTTTAAATGTTACCTGGCACAAAGTAAATCCTCAACAGATTTTTAAAAAAAGATTAGGAGACTGAATTTTCTATGCTTGCTTGCTCTCTCTCTCTCTCTCTCTCCCCCCCCTCTCTCTCTCCTTTCTTTCTTTCTTTCCTTTCCTTTCTTTTCTTTCTTTCTTTCCTTCCTTCCTTCCTTCCCTCTCTCTCTCTCTCTCTCTCTCTCTCTCTCTCTCTCTCCTTTCTTTCTTTCCTTGTGCTGGATCCAGAACCTCAAGCGTGCCAGACAAGTGCTATACACTAAGCTACATCCCAGCTATCGTAGTTAATTTTCTTGCTGCTGAAATAAAATACTGAACACTCAGAAATTAAAGGAGGAAAAGTTTATCTCAGCTCACAGTTTGTAGAGGGTTCAATCCATAATCAACTAGCTCCACGGCAGAGCGGCCTGACTGAAGGGCATCACAGAGGATAAACAGTCCATGGAAAACCAGGGTAGGCAGAAAGCAGCAAGCAGCAGCAGCAAGCTTCCTTTGTGTTTTTATCCCACTTAGGCTATAAGCCTTTTGGGTGATACTACCCACACCCGGAGTAAGGGTTCCCATTACTAACACCCAGAACTATGATAAACCAATTATTGGGCTAATTCCAGTACCTTTCACCTTAATCCCAGTATAATACCCTTCATCCACGTTCACACACCCTAGATTTAGCCACCTCCAAAAGGCCACACCTATGATTGCATGAGGCTTTGGAGGAATATCTAAATACAATCCATAACACAAGGCCCCAATAAATGTGATCTATTTATTTTTCCAGTATTTTCCTAAACTGCAATCCATCAAAGCATATCTGGAGTAATACACATAAAGGAAGCAAAGGGAAGCTACCTCTTTACCAGAGGTCTCATTTGGTTCTGGTAACCAGTGCCAGTTGAGAAAGTGCTCTCGACTCCCTCTTTTTCACTATATTTGTCATTGTAGTTAAGTACTTTTTTCCGTTTTTCTCTAGATACTGAATGGTTTTAGCTTACTTTAATTTCTAAAAAATGCTTACTTCATAATGCAGTGGATTTGTAAAATCAAGAAGTTATAAATAGTGTTTATTTTCAACTCCCTATATTTGGTTTAGACATAATCTCTATCATTTTTACGTTTTCCTTGGAAATTGATGAAAAGGTTGTGAATGAATCTGAACTTTTATAAGCCTGCCACTGAAAGATGTAATGAATCAGTGGCCACAATAAGTATTTAATTTTAAGGTATTTTTCTTTACTAGAAGTGTCAGTGACCAATGATAAGAATTCTCTCACCGGTTATTTTAGCTGTAATTTGAAATTCCTCATCTTCCTGCAAGATGAAGTTCTGTATTCTGTGATTTTCATTGCTAAGCCATCTTTTAAATTTTGCTTTACAGATCAGCGATCAAAATTTTGAAGGAAGACCATAAACTTTCTGATGGTGGTGGTAACCATGGCAGCGGATGATAAAGTTGCTATCTTGACGGATGATGAAGAGGAACAGAAGAGAAAATATGTGCTTGCTGATCCCTTCAATGGTATTTCCAGGGAACCAGAACCACTTTCAAATGAAACACCCTCCTCCACAGAAACATCTGCTATTCCGGAGGAGGAAATAGACTGGATAGAGAAACATTGTGTGAAAATAAACAACGATCTTCTAATTTCCAAAGTTTTTTATTTTTTCTTTTACTCTGCCTATGGCTCTCTTTACCCACTTCTGCCTGTATATTATAAACAGCTGGGAATGTCACCAAGCCAGAGCGGACTTCTCGTAGGTATCCGGTACTTCATTGAATTCTGTAGTGCTCCTTTTTGGGGGGTGGTTGCAGATCGCTTCAAAAAAGGCAAAATTGTCCTCCTCTTTTCTCTTTTGTGTTGGGTTTTATTCAACCTGGGCATCGGATTTGTCAAACCCGCTACCTTGAGATGTGTACCAAAGATCGCCCCAACGACTCACCCCACCAACGCAAGTCACCTGTCAACCATCCTGCCAGCGAATTCCTCTGTGCTGCCTTTCCTTAACACATCACCAAAAATGCGTGAGAAAAGGAACCTGCCTAGTTTCGATTGGCCACCAACTTTACAAACGGGGCTTGATAACCCAGAGGTAGATATCTTTGCAATGCCTTCAGCCAGGACCACTGAACCCAGTCTGCAGCCCCAGACAGGTGAAATGACTGACCATGTTATGGACTTGATCTTGAACACGAGCACAGTAACCTCCGTCCCCACAGGAAATGTAACCAGGGAGACAACCACGGCTGTTGTCACCACCACCAAATCTTTACCTTCTGCTCAAGTCACTCTTGTTTATGACCAACAGGAAGTGGAAGCTATATTCTTGGTGATCTTAGTAGTTGTCATAATAGGAGAATTTTTCAGTGCTTCTTCTGTCACAATTGTAGACACGGTGACGCTCCAGTATCTGGGGAAACACAGAGACCGCTATGGACTGCAGCGCATGTGGGGGTCCCTGGGCTGGGGCCTGGCCATGCTGTCGGTGGGCATTGGCATCGACTATACCCACATAGAAGTGCTGATCGATGGAAAGGGCTGTAAGCCCCCAGAGTACCGGAACTACCAGATCGTCTTCATCGTCTTTGGAGTTCTCATGACCATGGCCTTGATTGTGGCTACTCAGTTCCGGTTCCGCTACAGCCACTTCAAAAACAATGATAACAGAGGAAAAGAGGTAGAGATCCCTCAGGTGGAAAGGAATGCCTCCACGGAGTCTTCTGAGGAGACACCGTCTGCCACAAGCCACTCACAGACCTTCAACTTTTGGGACCTAATCAAACTGCTGTGCAGTGTGCAGTATGGCTCCGTGTTGTTCGTGGCTTGGTTCATGGGTTTTGGCTATGGCTTCGTGTTCACTTTTCTGTACTGGCATTTGGAAGATTTGAATGGAACCACAACCCTCTTTGGGGTCTGTTCAGTCCTGAGCCACGTGTCAGAGCTGACAGCATATTTTTTTAGTCACAAGCTTATCGAATTGATTGGCCACATCAGGTAAGAAAATGCATACTGTTGCTGCCCCTCAGCAGTCGAGCTTCATATTTTTACAGCTTGTAACAATTTTAGCATAATGAAGGATGTAAGAATTTGTATTGAGGGTAGGGTTGGGGTAGGGATGGGGCTATCTGTTGCTGTTCCTCCTGAATATAGAGATGGAAGGAAAGCAGGAACCGAGCTGGATTGTCTAAGACAAGCAAGCAAACCAGTATTAACTGCCTGCTTTCTCCAACTGCTCAGAAGTGATCTGTAGGCCACCTGACCATGTGCTGAAAGACTCTTAACGTAATGTTTTCAGATATAGGAGCACCATCTTAGTCAACTATATTGTCCCATAGACTTGAAGGGTCTGCCTGTCTCAGGCATTTGTGACAGAGGGCTTCTGTGGATAGAATGCGTTGTATATTTCCGCACTTCATTTATTCTCACATTACTTACTGATACAGATAGAGCTTGACTACATGGCATATACACATGACAAGGGGTTTGGGGTGTGGCTCAGTGGTAAAGTGCTTGCCTGGCACGCACAAGGCCCTGAGTCTGATCCCCAGCACTAAAAAAAGAAAACCACTATGTTTCATAGAGCTGTGACATAACCCACCATAATTCAAAGCCATCATATCACATGGAAGATACTCTTTCTTTTTTTTTTGGTACTGGGGATCAAACTCGGGACCTTGCACTTGCAAGGCAGGTGGTGGAACCAGTGAGCCAAATCCCCGGCCCTGGAAGATATTCTTATATAACTTCTTTTGTAATTGTAATGCTAATCTTTGCTTTTTTTTCTTTTTTCTTTTGGTCTGCCCTGAGGACTTAGGGTATTTAAAAATCTCCTTTTCTTAAAACTTCATATGTTGGGCCGGGGATTTAGCTCAGTGGCTCTGCCGCCTGCCTCGCAAGCCCGAGTTCGTTCCTCGGTACCAAAAACCAGAAAAAAACCCAACAAAATAAAAAACTTCGTATGTTATCCTTTTAACCATCAAAACAAAATAAAACAAAGTGTCTACACAAAACCAATGAAAGCCTGCTGTTTCTTTGATATCATTAATAACTGTCAAGTGAATGGTACCTTGGTGTTCTTTGTGCTCTATTAATGGCTGTAAAATGTGCAGCCAGCTACTCTTAAACATTCCTTTTTGTAGAAAAGTATGACATCTCTATCCCTAAAATTTCAAGTTGCCATCACTAAAAGAAAGCAAATGTGTATATTTTGTTTTTGTGTGATAGTCTTTAAATCCACTCTTTCTGTAGGAAATCAAAAAGCAGAAATAGACAATGGCAAGAGTTGGAAAACATTTATTTTTATAGCTTTTGTTTCCTTTCTAATCGAGGAAGATGTTTTCTAATTTAAAGCTTCAACCTAGAATCATTCCTTTCTCCTAAACTGTTGTGCATATTTGTCCTTGTTCGGCTTGGTTTTACTTTGGGAGGCTGTGCCCTGCCTGTCTCTTTCTCAATCTTTGACCCCTTTGTTGTCATTAAACAAAGTCAGGCACTGTGTGATGGTGCCCAGCTCCACAGAGTCCCTTCGGCTCAACCAGTGGGACCGGCTGAAAAGGAACCTTCTTCTGGCAAGGATGGGGAATGCCCTTCAGCCTTGGCCGGCCACATTTGCATTCTCAGCTGTGTGGATGCACTGTGATGACTTAGAGACTTCTCTACAGCCAGGGTTTATGAGCGATCTCATTGCTAATAGTACTTTTAGAACCAGTGATTCATCCCAGTGATGTGTTGCCAAGGAGGGAAATTCCTAGATGTCATTTTTCATCAGGTGAACCCTAACTTAGTACAGAATGTGCATGTAGGTTCTGTTTTCAAAGATATCATTGGGTTCCTCTCACATTCTCTTCTGCCTTTGCCTTTTATCTGTAGTAGATGTTTTCATAAATCCTAGTGGGTTCATGACTACTTTTGATAATTGCATAAGCATGTAGTTGTGTTTTTCTTTTTTGAGTAGTATGTGTTACTCATTACTTTGAAAAACCTATTGTTCACTTACCCTTAATTTTCTGATTTTCTGTATAAAAAACATCCGCTTTCTTATTTATTTATTTATTTGTTACCAGGGATCGAACTCAGGACCTTGCACTTGGGAGGCAGGCAGCAGAACCACTGAGCTAAATCCCCGGCCCCTCCTTTCTTATTTAACAATGTAATGGAAGAAGGTGGCCCTGTGGTCACAGGAACCTACTGGGGTCCCATCAGAACATGGTCATGTGCTGCTTCTGTATTTGGATTCTGTCCATTAAAAAGTATTGATTATTTTAAATACAGTTTAATGAGTATGATAGCTGACGTAAGATTATGCCACATTTGTACTCAGACAGAATGGATCTTTTGCTCTTGATGACAATTTTGAGAGTCCAAACAGGTGGTGATTGCTGAGATTTAAGAGTTTCTAAGTATAGTGGTGACAGCTTAAATTTTAATTGGAAGAATACCATGTTAAAAAGCTGAGGAATCCTTAGTCTTTACGTTTTCCTTGTAGGATCATAAAGGGAGATCTTTCTGGGGCCATTATGTATTCCTGTACATTTTTTCAGTATTCACTATCATATTAGGAGTTTTAAGATTCAGCACTACCATAAAAAAATTGTATATACTAACATAGAAGCATATGTTCACAAATTCTTTACATAGATTCAGACTGAAGAAGAATTTATACCAGAAAACAGTTTTTAAAAAATAGCACATTCAGGGCCAGGGATTAGCTCAGTGGTTCTGCCACTTGCCTTGAAAGCACAAGGACATGAGTTTGATCCCCAGAACCAAAAAAAAAAAAAAAAAAGCACATTCCAAGCCACATAGTGGCAGTAGTGGCAGTGTTTTACAGTTTGGGCCCAGATTTTCAGGGAATAATGTACTGGCCTAACACACACACACACACGCACACGCACACGCACGCACACACGCACACACACACACAATAGTAAATGATTTTGGGTTTTGGCCCTGGATTATGTCCTCTAAAAAATAACTTTCTCAGGGAAATAACTTAATGCTTATACTAAGAGAATAAATTTCTTTGTACAGAAAGTACATTTTTAGGCCCATTTATGTAAGGATAATTAACTAGACGTATCTTATGTGTCTTAGCTGAATATTTCAACTCTTATGAATAGGAGTGTGACCAACATCAATAGTAATAGTGCTTTGTAAATTTGTAAATCATTGTTATCCAATGGTATTTGATTTAAATTTATTTTCATTTTAAGAGACATGTACATCTCCTAGAGAAGTTTAACCTAAAATTATTTTTTATCTTTGTGGTACTGAAGATTGAACCCAGGGCCTTTGCACTGAGATACATATACATACCCAGACTTTTTTTCTTTTTTTTTTTTTTTAATTTTGAGACAGAGTCTCACTAAGTCACTAAGTTGCAGGTTGTAGGTGTGTCTCCACACCCAGCCTTCACCCCGAAATTCTTCCATCTAAGCTCAGTTTTACCCGGCACTTAGTATGGAGAAGGGATAATGTGTCACCTATTTGAGCTATGAATTACTACTTAATAGCCAAGTATCTAAATGGGCTGGCTCAGTTTGCGAAAGAAGGGAATATGTGATGCATACAGCAAGAGGAGGAGCACCAGGCTTTCCCGAGAGGACACTGCAGGAAAAGCCGGGAGAGGTGGCGAGGGGCTGGCCCCCACTCAGCGGAGGGTGCACAGGAGTTGGTGTGAGTGGGCAGTCACTGGAGAAACAGCGAGAAGAGGGAGACACTGCAGTGGGGGTGACCGATTTGAACCAGTCCCTGAAAGACGGAAGGATTGGGTCTGTCTGTGTTTTCTGTTTGTTTGGTGTTTTTTTCTTTGCTTCACCCATCTCTTCATGCTACCTACTGGTCCTGGACTTGCTGGCTCTCAGACTGTCCTCTGCCTGTACAGAGAGTGCTTCCGGGACCCGGTGTCCTGTCTTCTGCTGGCTTCAGCTATGCATTGTTCTCCAGTAGCAGACTCCCCAGAAGGCCTCTTCAAGCTCAGGCTGCATCCAGCCCACTTACCTCAGACCCTCCAGGCCTGCGTACTTTTAAAAGCCCCCTCCTAGGTTCCAGTTTGCTGCCAAGGTTGAGAACCAGCGAGTTCATGAGGGGCGTAGGTGAGAGGAGGATGGGAGGGAGGCAGACAGAGGAAACTCTGGGCAGTTTCCTGTCTTTCTAGTGCATGCAGTGTATCTGTGTGACTTTGGATATGGTTCTCCTGCTCCCTCCGGGTGGTTCTTTCCTGCTCTCTGGTAGTTCCCTCACTGTGCATGAGCTCGGAGTAAGAGGTGGAATCTCTGGGCACTCTCTGGGTCTCTCCACTCCAGGGCTCATCCTGGCCCCCGAAATCTCAGCCCTGTCTCTTCCACTCCATGCCCTGTCTATCCCGAAGCTTCCCTCCAAGACAGCGCTGCATCTCAGCTGTGGATCCACCCACAGCGGGCAGCCTGGGCCTGGGCAGCATCTCCACCCTAACCTTATCCTTCTGACCTGGCTGTGTGGGGGCTGCCTGCAGCTCTCCAGGTCTCCGACCAAGTCCTTGAATGAAGACCGATGGGTGCCCGGTTCCCTGATGGCAGCCACCTCCCTCAGCTCCCTCCACTGCTCAGGACTCCTTATGGCAGTCACCACAGTGAGGAAAGAGCTCAGAAATAAAACTCAGTTCCTGACTCAAAAACAAAGCAGTGGTGGGCCTTAACTCTTCTTTCCCTTTTGATCTCTTAAGGGAGGATTAATTCTTTTATAAAATTTTTACCATGGTAAAAAACAATGTTCTAAAAGGTTCTGTTTTCATAACAAATTGAATTTATCACTTGGGAGATAAAACTGGTAGAACGGTTTGGATGTGAGAGATGAGGCGGAGACCCATCTTCGGCTTGGTGTGCCAGGTCCTCTAAATCTAATGGAAATTCAGAAAAGAGATGTAGATTGGGGAGGCAGGAGCATAATGATCATGAATTTAGTGTTGGGTTTAATTTGAAACTGAAGCATCTGGGGGGTATCAAACAATTACTATT